ACTGGTGGTAGGACCTCTTGTGAGTCCGCACGGGTAGGTACCACCGCCCTGCCTATTTCTGCCGTGAAGCAGTAATGCGTTTCGGTTTGAAGGGTGGGGCAGCCGTTGTAACTATACTGAGACCTTACAACTTATATCTCAAGGTGGGTGGCGCATTTACATTGTAGATGTCTATGGGCTCCAGTAACCACTTAACAACAGGTGGGCTGTGAGCTCGTCCACCCATCTAAGCAATAAAAAAAAAAAAAAAAAAAAATATTTATGTTGGAGTAAGTCACAGATTTTAATAGGTCAGTCCATCGTGTTGGAGATCATCCGCGAGATTACATTAATTACCTACATACAATTAGGTAATTGTGATGACTAATTGATATTGTGCTCTTATCTGAATCTGCAGCGACGTGCTCAGAGACAACTTCCCAGCCTGTTTATACTTCGCCAAGTCTGTTATCCATACTGGATTAAAAGGTGGAACAGTCCTACTCCGCCTTCTTGTCAGAGTGGCAGTTTTCAGGTTATGGTGTTCATGGACTCTGACACGTAGCGCGTAGGGTCGGCCGTGCGCTCGTTCTTTTTTTATTGCTTAGATGGGTTTGACGAGCTCTCAGCCCACCTGGTGTTAAGTGGTTACTGGAGCCCATAGACATGTACAACGTAAATGCGCCGCCCACCTTGAGATATAAGTTCTAAGATCTCAGTATGGTTACAACGGCTGCCCCACCCTTCAAACCGAAACGCATTACTGCTTCACGGCAGAAATAGACAGGTGGTATCTACCCGTGCGGACTCACAAGAAGTACTACCGCCGGTCGGCGCCGGTGAAACCACTCGTTCGCATTTTTGTCGCAATCGCAAATGACGCTTGACCCTAAAACAACAATATGTAAATCAATTTCAAATATTTTATAGTATTCAACACGCACTGAATAATATGAATTTTATTAGAAGTATTTACATATTAAAAAAATAATATAATTTCCTACGCTCTTTAGTTAGAGAAGCAACACTTTTTACTTATTTAGCAACTGGAATAAAACTATGGTCAATGTTAATATTCATCTACAAAAACTCATGATTATGCTCAAATGGTTTTTATTTTCTTTTATCCCTACGTAAATTATATGCAATACTATGCCTAAATTTCAAAATTGTAACTGCTTAAAGAAAATACCCAGCTTCCAAATTCATTGATCAAATAGCCAAATAAAAGCTGTTGGTAACATACAGACCGACTAAATTACAAGAGTTACAAGACAATTGGGTAGATCGATAATGTTTTCGATTTTGTCTACGGAGTTTTATCTATATAGATATATAAAAGCTGTTCGTTAGTCTCGCTAAAACTCGAGAACGGTTGGACCGATTTGGCTAATTTTGGTCTTGAATTATTTGTAGAAGTCCAGAGAAGGTTTAAAAGGTATATAAATATGAAAATGCTCGAAATTAAATAAAAATAACAATTATCCGAACGGGTTTCTTTTGTTTGTTTCAAATTTATTTTATACAAAAGCTTAGGTCTTTTGTTTATCGATTGAGGCACTACGAAGTCTGCCGGGTCAGCTAGTAAATTCATAAAAACGTTGGCACTCATTACCTTGTGTGCGTTTCAAATACCACTTAACTCACAATGCCTTACTTTACCATTTGAATAGAATTTAGATCTTCGAAAGCTAGCCTCTGGTGACTGGTCACCTAGATGTGTTGCAACAATAAGGACTAAAGAACTCTTCAATCACAAATTAAACATCATTGATTTAGTTTTGAACGTATCGAGAGTGTGAGAATAGTAAATATTAATTATAGTCGGACAGAATTCGGATGTTTAATGACAGAGAGAGATCCAAAAAGATGATCCAAAAAATGTTAAATTACCCGTCCACAAAATGGTTCGGTTTAATTTTATTTCAATTATGTTTTTTGTACAGGATGTACGTCCGTGAGCGTAATCACTTTTGAGTTTCTTGTTTCAGTGAAAGTTAAGTAATGCACTTACATTTTTTTTGGGCGTTCGGTTTCATATGCGAGTGAGATATTGTCTATGTTTCTGTGATAATTTTTAATAGACGATGACCGAGCTTCTCTCGTTTTTTTTGATAACCCCATCTTGTTATGTCTTTAAACCAGTTAGTTGCTCTCAATTAAGAAAAATAGTATCATTATTCGCCAATAGATGTCGGGAAAAGTCATAAAGTTCATTATCGATAAAGTTGATTATTGAAAACACGAACAAAACAACATTTTCTGAAAATAAATCGTAGCTAGATTGATTTATCGCCCTCGAAATCCCCTGTATACTAAATTTTATGAAAATCATTGGAGCCGTTTTCGAGATTCAGATTATATATATATACAAGAATTTTTCGTTTAAAGGTATAAGATTATGGCTACTTGCCGGTTATAGATGAATTAAAGTAATGAATCAAAAAGTCTGACTCAAGTGTGTGGCGAACTACGCAGCTTATAACGATTTGAATTGTTTAAACAGAGAGCCTAGTCTTACCAAAAATATTGCTCGAATCAAAACGTCACAAGTTTTCTATAGAAACAGTGTTGCGTTGTACGTTAGTTTAAAGATTGATTTAATAAATAGCACATATTTATTATGGTGATGTAATAAATAAGTGCTATATAAAAAAAAAACACTAGGTATTACTACTGTTTACTCATGGTTGAAATACGATAATAATCACTGAAGCCTCTAAATTTGTTCATTCTACGTATTTTACATTTAGGTATAACTGATTCTTCTTAAGCAGGTGGGGAACCATGTAACAGTTTCCATTTGAAATGATAAACTCTTAAGCCGCGTTGAGCACTTTTTGTTACAGGAAAAATTATGGGCTCGCGTCATCGACACGCTAATGTTGTATATGTCAGCTGCGCTTCTGTACTCGAATACATACCTACCTAAACGATTATTACACCGTATAAACTTTCGGAGAAGGTCAACATTTAAACTATAATAATTATTAGTAGGTAGGTATATCATATAAGTACCTACATACTGTGTTAAATGAATGAAGCTGAATAAAAAACAACTTGATTTATGTATCTGAAACGTTTATATAATAATATTTATTTAAATTAAATAGATTGAAACGAGATGAGATGACATGAAATTAAATTATGTTCCAGTTAAATGGCGATAGTTTAGTAAGAGCGGTAGACTAAAGACTTTCTAGAAGAATCTGAGAAGCCACGTTCACTGGTTTCATTTCATTTTGCGTTCCAACCAAAAAGTCTTTTACTAAAACTAATGAGAATGAATATGAATTTCGCCACCCCATGAGACAATGTTGAAATTTCAATTATTATGTACATATTAGGAAATTATATTGTTTGTAGTTACAATTATTAACAAATCATAATACAGGGCTGGTCTTAAATTATTTCATAGAAAGGTTGAAATTTTTAGATTTTGTGGTTTTAACGAATGGTGATTTAATGGAATGTTGCGTTAATCTTTTCTGTGAGTGCTACATAATTTCACAGAGAGCTTTTCTGTCCTTTACTTTCATTGGAATTAATTAAGTTATCACACTTAGTAAATACTAGTTGACGAACCTATAACGCAGCTATAACACTTTGAAAACGCCGCTGGTCATTCTACAACAAACCCCTTACTCGACCGAAGAAATGGAGTGTTGCTACTATAGGCATCATCATAACACCAAAAATTTTGAGATTGCGTTGCTGCTTTGTTATGCTTATGAATACTGGTAATAACTAAAATAAAAATAAAATTGATGGTATCATTAATTTAATTTGTTTTGGTCTAGATACATACACAGTATTATGCTTGGCTGCATGGGCTTTATAACTTTGTTTATGTATTCAAGTCTGTGAACAAAATAAAAATTATTGTCTATGTTTCCAGTGAGTGTTGCTAGATGTACTGTAATTACGGTAAATACCACGTACCGCTATTGATAATTAAATAGTGTAAGGGCGTTATCATCTTAGATATAAAAAAAAAATATATTTATGAATTAAAAAATAACATGCGAAAAAGATAAACTTCTTTTGTGATGTGTAGTATCGTGGTTTCCTTAATTTTTTATCCTTAAATCAAATTTCTTTGGTAATAGGGAATTTTGTGTATAAGATAAACAACCTGTTCACAATTTATATATATTTTAAATTATATATAGAACAACAAATAATATTATTTTTTAAACTTTCATTAAAAATAAAATATAAGATAATTAATATGTTACTGCCTACAGGAGCAATGAGATCACCTACTCGCCCAGAGAATCTAGTATAACACCTCGAGGTTACTAGAATAGGTAGGGAAACAAAAATCTTTCTCACCTTCTCCACGGTGGAATGGTTCGCGAGATGCTCTGCCTATTTTCTCACTCTCGCTCTTCCTAAATTGTATCACTCTAGCCGTAACAAATCTGTCGCGGCTTTTTGCTCTCAATGCACCTAAAGAGATTTTACTTTAAAAATAGGTGTTTGTTATAAAACTTTGTTCTAGAATTCTATCCCTGAATGAAAAATAGTATTAAATCAGTGACATGAAAACCAAACAAGCATTTTTGAGGACATCTGAAGAACTGTACAAGCATAACAAACGATTTAAATTTCAGAGTGCAGACTCCATAAAATTTTATTTTACTCAGGAAATTGTAAAATAGGAACTGATGATAAATAGAAAAAAACGTTTTTAGGTTAGAAAGTGATATGCAGGTAGTGCCATAAATTACACAAAAAGCAGAAATAACAACGTGTAAAAGTATTCCAATGGAAATCTAAAACACAATGTTTTATAATGCAGTTCCAAGTGATAATTTAGAAAAATAAATGTGTATGTGGAATATATTGAATCTACAATTGGAGACGCTTACTTTGCTTTACACTTCTGTATTTATAAATTTCTCATTTAAGTCTGGCAGCACCACAACCCCAATGAATATTCAAATGAATATTCTTTGATCTGTATCATCCACTGGTATCATCTATATGTGGCTATCTGTCATTAATGTCATCTTTTCGAAGTTATAGCAATTCTAGACAATTCTGGTGTTGGCCTTTAGAAGAAATTTGTTTGCGATAGTGTATTGCATACGTGTATTAAACGACAAGGAGTTTTAATTGTAGAAGAATATATCAAAAATTTTTGAAACACTTTAATATGTGCTATATCTGATATTATTCATACAAAATGTCACTATTTAATGAGAAATTTAATGTACCCAGTAATTTCAACATAAAATATTCTGACAGTAAAGACACATCACATTATTACCAGAAATTAGCTGCTCCAACACACGGCTAATGCTACCAAAGAAGTTTCCTTAGAAAAGTTAACAAAATTAGATTTTTCCTTCATAAGTAACGACACTAGTCATTGAAGTAGGTACCTAATCCGAGAGGTTAAATATGAAATAAGGTATTATGTACTACTATATCGATGAAGAAGAACAAAAAATGAAGGGTACTCTGCGCGACTGGCGAAAAGCCCTGAGAACACCGATTACATACAGAGTTGGTAATGCTGTTCGTATACAACCACAATTAGTTGTTTTAATGACATCAATGGGAACTTTTCTGCTTTTATTAGTCTATTACTGGTGGACATCAGTGCAGGGGCCCCCTGTAATTCAGTGGATCCACAGAACGAGACAATACAACACTACATATCCACTAACTAGACCTGTTATAGCAGGGGATTATATTACATTCCGGATTGGCATTGTAGCTGATCTTGATACTAATTCTAAGAGCTCAACAAAAGCATATTCTTTTCATAGTTATTTAAAAAAGGGCCATTTAGTTTATAATCGCGTTAAGAACAGTGTGACAGTGACTTGGGATTCTCAGCAACCGACTTTGTTAACATCCATGTATTCACATAAAGGGCGTGGTATGGAATTGTCTGAACTAATTGTTTATGATGGTAGACTGCTCACATTTGATGATCGATCAGGCATGGTAAGTTGATTTGACTCCTTATCTGCTAGTAGCCTTGAAGGGCTATACTGGCTTCACCTTGACTGGTGGTTGATACTTCATTAGATTACACTAATTAATTCAGCAATTAGAATATTGTCTTTGATTTTCGAGTCATGGACAATTAAAACTACTTTTATGGTATATCTTGATTTGGGAATTTGAAGTGTTTTGAGTACTTCAAAAATTTTCATAAAATGGAAATACTAAGATGAAAATAAAAAGTAGGAGATTGTAAAGCAGTTTTAAAGTACCAAATAATGTGAAATGCTGTTAATTTTGATAAATTATTAAAAATCAAATGCAGAAACTGGTGAAAATTATATCTATTTAATTTTAAGTCTCATCTCTGCAATGTATTTGACAATGCTGATCAGCTTTTTCTTAAAAAATGAAATCGTATTAAGCAATTAATATATCTCATTGAAATGTTGCTGTTTGAAAACCTATTAAGAAATTTAAGGCTTACAATTATCTCCCATTTCTCGTTTTGAGTGGTGGCAAATAGATCCTATGAATAATAGGCAACAGTAATTTACACATTATACTAGCATACTGAGATTGCCTATGAGCATTTACTGGTTGTGATTTGTAAGCCTGCATGCATAGATATACCCAAACTTTCTATTTCTGTCATGAAGCTGTCATGCTTTCCAAAAGGTGGGACTTCAATTGTACAATACTATTAAGACTGAGCTGTAGACTGAAGGTGGCCCACATTTACATTGGGTTGTAAATGAGCTCCGGCACGCACTATACATCAAGTGCTCTGTAGGTTCATACACCCTTATCTATGCAATAAAAACAATATAGATAATATGAATTATCTAAAAAAGAAATGTAGAATATTTTAATTTCACAGCAATTAATAGGTCATTAATTTCTATTACCTTTTATTGGAATGTTAGTTGGAAATTAATCTATAATTATTATTTTTCAGGTTTTCGAAATAATATCTAACAAAATGGTGCCATGGTTAGTGTTGACTGATGGTAATGGTCATGTCGAAAAAGGCTTTAAATCAGAGTGGGCCGCAATGAAAGATGAAATTCTATACATAGGATCTATGGGCAAAGAATGGACAACTTCCAGTGGAGAGTTTGAGAACTATGACCCAATGTGGGTAAAAGCTGTTAATATAAATGGAGAGGTACAAACGAAAAATATTTTAAATTCAGAATATTCTTCATACATTAATAAAAATACATTAAAGTTCAAATTCTGTGAAATCTAATTCTTGAGAGTGTAACAATTGTATTGTGTATAATTCAGGCAGCACCATAAAGTATATTATAATTTTATACAATCATAAGTGCTGAAAAAAAGTTTCAACAAGTAAATTAATAAAATATACCTATACAAATGCTCAAATTAAATTTAGGTATCTAGGTTTTTGAGTCTTTTAATAATTTTTTTTATTAAATATCAGGTTCAACATTTGACATGGGTAAATCGATATAAAGCCATAAGAAGTTCAATCGGGGTACAATGGCCTGGTTATGTTATACACGAGTCAGGAGTCTGGTCACCTCACAAGCAACTATGGCATTTCCTGCCGAGGAGGTGTAGTTACGAACAATACAATGAAACAAAGGACGAAATTAAGGGTTGCAACTACCTTATTACTGCAGATGATAATTTCAGAAATATTAAAGCTAACAAGGTAAAACTTCATATTTGTGCCAGCGATCATTAATTTTTATAGGTGTCAAGAATTCGACCTGTTTGATGGTGAGTGGGTGCTGTCAGCTGTGGGCAATGACAATGACAGATACAGACAATTTATTTAAAAAAAAGAGCTTGCTGATAGAGCTGAATAGCACAGTAACAATTATATGATGAAGTTTATTTCAAAGCTTGATAGTACAGGGGATAGTTACTTTTGGAAAGGCATTATGTATTTTGTTAGTTGTGTTAAAAACAGTTCATGAATTCAAAAGGCTATAATTTAATAGACATCTATCTTAAATACATGATGACATCGTTTGTTCATATTTACTGAACCTACATCTGAAAAGCAAGTAATAACCATCACATGCATTTCTTCAACATAGTAAGTCTTCATTTCTTATTAGTAATGAATTCAGAACTATACCATATACTGTTGAAGAGGTATTTATGATGTTATGCTGTCAGAAATCTAGTTTTAACATTAAGTTTATTTATTCAATTCTCAATGTTTCACGTAGTTTAGTTTTAGCAGCTATAGTTTTCCGTAAAAATACTTTCAAAAATACTTCAAAACTATAATTCCACCTCTTTAGAGATGCTTCTTAAGGAAATCATTGAACTATTGTTAATCTCATTATGAATAAAGAGAACTGTGTGCTTAGTGTGAGTGAGCAAATGTAGGGGCACTGTTCCAACTCCATACAAATAGGAGTTAACTGTTACATGAACTCTTCCAGTGAACATTATTTAACGAATTTAAAAATATTATTTCAGATAACAAAATTTCAACCAAAGCATGGCTTCTCATCGTTCAAGTTTATACCTGGATCTAATGATGAGGCCATAGTGGCTTTGAAAACAACTGAGTTTGAAGGCAAGACCGCGACATACATAACAGCATTCACCACTGATGGCTTGGAGTTACTATCCGATACTTTTGTGGAAAACATGAAATATGAGGGCATCGAGTTTTTGTGATTGTGATTTGTGATAAATCTATTTAAATGTAAATTTGTAATATAGAATTGAAATTGTTGATTTGTGTTGTTTTTATTTAGAAATAAATATTTATTGTGTAAACATGGAAAGGATACAACCTGAAAGAATAATTCGAAATTTGATACAGGCTATATGATTTAATAATACAAGTTGATATCTCTTAATGATGGCTGTTAAAATGTGGCCATAGTTTTGTACTCTGGCAATACCAGCCTTTTCAGTGCGTGAAGACTGATCAGTGATTTTTATAGTTCTATTTTATTAAGTTAATGTTTCTTTGGGCTTAAATATTTAATAATAACTTTTTATTATCTGTTTGGTGTTATGAGTAAATTCAAAGTATAGGAAATGAAACAAAACCCAGACAATATGACTAGAGGTTCTTTCAAAAGTCCATTAAAATTGTTCATTTTACTAAAGCTTGTTACAATTATTAAAATTTGCCAAAATTGATAACTAAAAAGTCGAGTAATCAACTTAATAAAAAAAAAAAAAAAAAAGTGGCAAAAATAAAAAGTCAACACTTTGGCGCAGATAATTGCTGTCTTATTACATATTAATCACGAAGTTTTTCATCCAAAGTCAAAAGAAAACAAAACATTCTTGTTTCACTTCACAAAACTTTATTTAAATGTAAATTGCACAAAATATATATAGTATTCGATTATATCAACACGTTTGACATGTGTATTTTAAATATCAACAAAAACCCTTACCTACAAACGATACAACTTTATAAAATCAAAGTTAAACAAAACAGATTCAATATATTAGGAACGTTGTGCTAACATTTATAAATAGGCTTACCATTGCCCTAATTTTTATATTCAAACAATGTAGTTAACGAAATTCATTTTAAACCAATAGACCTTGTTATTTCTTCGAAGACAGTCCACGCCATTGCAGCCATGAGAGTTCTACGAAGCATCCTGGGTACGGCACCTTTGAAATACCCTTTAATTCCGTACGTCTGTAACAACAAATTAATTTCCATTTTATTCCATGATTCAGCTATGATACGTATATGGGCGACGAAGTTGATAACGGTTCCGGTCTCAATTAAGACATGTGTATTATCTATGCTTATCAATAGACTATATCAAATACATAATATGTAACCTAATAGAATATTACATTTTGTTATTATTAACCGTCTTTGAACAAGGAGGTTCACAATTTAATTATTAAATTTTTTTTATGTGTTTCAAAATTTTTATTTTGTTTAAAAGTTGGTGCTTGTCGTATAGTCATTTAAGTTTCATCCTGATGACCAGTACGTAGTAGTTTTGAATGTACATTGATGTTATTCGGATTTTTGTTGAAGTCAGTTTTATTTTTATTTTGTATTATTATCGAAATGTTAAGGAATCATTATTACTGTTCAAATGTCACCAACTAAACATTCAAGATCATGTCAATGCACCAACATAATTGAATTCACGAACATCATCTGATAAATAATACCAACGCGAAGTTTTTTATCCTAAAATAATTCCAAAAGAACACTAAAAAGCCATGGCGTAGATAACCTTTCGCGTTGCAATCGCCAAAAAATGTACGATTAATTAAAGTTAATTACTATAAAAATACATTTAAACTTGACTCTTAGCCTCCATAAAGGTTTCACACCAAGGAAACGTGCTAAACTACAGATAATAAAATAGAAGGATTGTTTTATTAATTCGAACAAAAATAAATGCATACAATATATTTGTTTATTGGCAACTCGAAATTTACTTTTGTGCATATATTTTTTCTAATATTACAAAAGCTATTTTAATGATTGAAATCATAATTGCTCTTTCGAAATAAATACGTTTGCAACTAATAAATTTATATATCTTATTTTTCCCCTGCCTATGTTGCTAGCCTTGTGAGGCTATTTCGGCTTCTTGACGTGTAGGTGAGCTCACGGGGCTTAAACCGGGAGTGTTGCTAACACTGGCCTTAGCAAGAGTAGTGCTTCGCATAATCTACTACCGGATCGGAAACGCGACCCAGAAACTCAGTGTGCTTTGTCTATGGGTTAATTTACTGGTCGAGCCCTTCGTCGCAAGCGACGCGACGGGTTCGGCGACGACGGTGACCGGTGCTTGTGGTACCTAAAAGCCCCGTAAATTGATCGGGAGGATCCGTAATGGCGTGTTTAGGGCATATCATACTACTACTACTTATATCATACTAAAATTTATGTCATTTCTTTTATTAAACACATACACACCTGATGGATGTAAACAGCGGCACTAAAGGCGTTTGGAAACTTATCAGGATAAAGTTGCATTTTCGTCTTGAGAACGTCGGCCGGGTTTGTGGCCAGCGAGGCAGCGATCCCGGCGACAATACCGCACGAGAAATGAATAGCACTTGCAGCGCTTGGTGACTGAAGCCATTCTGCGAAAGAGTTAAAATTATGAGAAATTATTGAATAATTATGTAAAAAGATATGGTATATAAATGGTTCAGTCATTGGGAAATGTAAGCTGAATACCGGCTGCGTACATTGAAACCTCAAATTAGAGCTTCCTTTGCGTTTTAATAATGGCTATAAAAAGAAAACATTGATAATTTCGTGGCAGAAATAAGGACTGTGTTATGGGAGTTATTTACTAGCAGTTAGACAACGCGCCAACACNGAATAATTATGTAAAAAGATATGGTATATAAATGGTTCAGTCATTGGGAAATGTAAGCTGAATACCGGCTGCGTACATTGAAACCTCAAATTAGAGCTTCCTTTGCGTTTTAATAATGGCTATAAAAAGAAAACATTGATAATTTCGTGGCAGAAATAAGGACTGTGTTATGGGAGTTATTTACTAGCAGTTAGACAACACGCCAACACTGAAAATTATATACTTTACTTTTAATTCGATATTTAACTATGTTGCGGAGTTAAATAGTTTACACTATACATGGAGGGATATTTGCTTTATACACATCACCGCATTCATAAAAATATTATTAAGGTTTCAAATTATGATTTTTACAATAATCGACTATCCGATTTTATTTTAATTCGAGCTATTTAAATCGATAATATATGTGGCTGTTAAATATGTTATTGTTATGTCAGCTGTCAATTTTCCATATTACAGTGCTTCGTTCGACAAATTAAATCGAGATCTTTAATTTAGAACATCTGTAAGTATCTGTAAATGTCGAGCGAAAATAGAACGGTTGTTCGCCAAATTGGCGGGAAGAAACATTTTTGTTTTGTTACCGTTAAATTATTGAAATAATAAGTCATACACTTCATGCGATTAGAGAGACAAAATCTTGGCAAGCATGTAGAATTATCGTATTTGATGAAAAATATCACTAGGTAATCTAATCTCAAAAATTTTGGTAGGTATTTGATATTAACAATGACGCCACAGTAAAAACAAATAACGACATAAATTATTGATAATGATTACAAAGGTGTCGATAGAATTCAATTTTATTTAAACATGAAAGTACCATGATAACATTATTGAATACCGACGAATATTACAAGCAAATAAAATGACAAAAAAAATTCTAGAACCGTTCAATAGACTTAATTGAGATAAGAAATGTAATTTAACATGAAAAATATAAACATGTGAAATATGAAGTGGATGTAATTTAATTATTGGTAGCATAACTTTTTTTCTACCGCCGCTGTTGCCGACGAGATAACGCGGCTTTTACTTAAACAATTCGTATCGCCACCGTTCATTGCACGATATTAAAATCAGCATGTTGTTCAACGTGAGACGATATATCAATGCTACCACCGTTTGTTCCATCAAAACAATAATTGACTTGAATTTTTTTTTGCCACTCGTTTACTGTCAAAGGCAAAGGTGTTACAGGCTAAAATGCAAATACAATGAACTTGGTAAAACATTGAAAATACAACTAGAGTCTCAACTAGAGTCATATTGGAAAACGCTAATCACGTTCATAGATTAATCATAATAATTTTGTAAAAAGAAAAATAATGGCAATATACTGATGGTAGTTATAGTAACGTGAACCAGGCATGGAAGAGTACCATTTTGCCTATTTCTGCCGCGAATCCATCATGCATTTCAGCTTAAAGGGTGGGACAGTAGAAAACACATATGGAACTTCCTCTTCAAATCTCAAAGTATTGAACTAAATATTTAATTTTAGCTAGATCGTGGGCTCGTTTGCTTCCTGGCATTGTTGATGTCCGTGAGCATAGTAGACCACTCATGATTAGGTTGGTCGTATGGCTCGTCTGCCTATTGAGGCAATAAATAAAGTATTTATTTATCGGCGTTCATAGACGATCGCCCAGTCTAGCCTATAGTAGTTATCAGTGCCTGAAAACAACATATGCATATATAGGGTATATATAGGCTAATAACATCTTTTGCTCCAATTTTTCCACTCCACAATGGCACCTAAAGCATTACAATTTCGAAGGACCAACATAAAATAATTCTTAATACACTTCAAACGTATTAAGCTAAAGTATTTATCATTTTCGTATTAATCTTATCACAGCAGGATTATTATTCTTACCTTTGGGAACGGCTTGTTTTGTTTGTGTGTAAAACATTAGATACAGTCCCGAGAACGGCGCGTCCCGGGCCAAGGTCGGACCCAGGCCGCAGGACAGACCTCGAAGACCTTCCGCTTTGTATATGGATTTCAGAGCACCACTCAAACTGGTGTATTTGTACACCCCTGATTCGTACCTGGTTAGAGACATAAAAAATAGTTACACTCAATGATTTCGGCTTTCAAGTGTCTAATAGAATACAAGTTTAGTTTTTTTGGAACGAATTTCCTTATGGGACGATGCGGAGGGGTACCCTAACCGGGAAAAAACGTCCGTAACGTAAGACTTTTACTAGTCATGCACACAGTGTACGACTTAACTTTGTAATAACGTACAAAAAATAACATTTTTTTAATCATTCATTGACCACGATCTCAGAGCGTTCGTTTGCGCAATACACTAACTCTTATGCAAACAACCGTGAATGAAGTGTGCCACAATAAGTTCGCGCGTTACCGAATTACCGTGGGTTCTTGCGAAACCTCGTATTTTATCTTCTTTATACTTCGAATAGAACTTAAAATTAATATTTTTATAATAAGGAACTTCGTTCCTATCCGGTATCCCACGACACCACACATCTTTTTTTAATTACTCTCAGTTTTATTAAGGTATATCTAGTTGGTATTAATTATCTTAGTTATAGTTGGTAATAACTAAATAAAGCATATTTGTCTGTCTCCATAGACGGGCTCTAGTACCAGAAAGAATTACTAACACTGGCCTTAGCAAGAGCAGTGCTTCGGTGAATCTACTACCGGATCGGAATCGCGACCCTTAAACGTAATCCGGCGAGAAACTCAGTTGGCTGTGTCTATGGGCTAGTACGCATGTTCGTTGTAGTCGACAAGTTCAATGAGGACGGTGACCGGTGCTAAGCTATTGTTTTTCTTGTGACCTCTAATTTGTATGATAATTTAATCGGACACAGAAGATACAACGCACTCATTCCCGATTCCTTTATCTATTGTGTTTTCAATTAATTTCAGTAGACTCATTGTGACGATCGATCAAAACAACCGATTAGCCAATTGCGAAAACATCCGATACGTGCGAACTGATTTGACGTCAACGACAAGCCCACATTGCAAAGTTCCTTTGGCAAACAAAAATTACGAAAACAAAACGATAGTAGAATTGGCGGGTGTTGCGGGCACTTCCCTGTTCGATAGCAGACTTTTTTCTCTTATAACTCGTGCAAAGCGTGCGTCATCAGATTTAGATGAACGAAATACCCGTAATGTGTAAGGCACAAAAAACGTTTATTGGGGCTTTGTGTGATAACATTTAATTTTATATTAGCGAAATAGCGAAATTTTTTTTCGGGATAATCTGAAAGATTCGAATGATTTAGAAGTGGTTCTACGAGCTGTCTTTTCGAAGAGCAATCTCTATTAATTTTTATACCAACTTACAGTAAAATTAAGAATCCTTACGTAAACACTAGAAATGCGGGTATTAATGAATCATTTCGAAAATGCATCGTGCGAATATACCATCAATATTTCCCAAATTTATAAATAAAATTATATATACGATACAAATAAATATAAGTATCACATTCACAAGCTTACCTAGTTTTTATCACAGTTATTGGTATCAAGGCAATCCCGCTCATGGTCCTTGCGACAACGCCCAAAAGAACAGCCTCAATAGCTTTCAAGTCTCCCGTAGACTTCCCCATCTTCCCTTTGAGCCAATGCAGTGAAGAGAAATATAATCCGACCCCGGGAACACATCGGGCAACGGAGGGTACCATCCCTCGCCACAATCCAACGATTTGCTCCTGACGGATTATGTTAGCGAAGATCGTTATCATCCCGGGTTGAATTCGGCCGCTGGAAAAGGAATTTATAATAAAGCTTTTTTTTAAATTAATGATTAAGTCATTGAGCAAGAAACTAACCATAAAAATAAGTAGCTCATTAAGGGAACGAAAAAAGAAAATGGTCAACATGTGGACATGGCAACCACTGAAATTTAACCGATCACTGTTTGGCCCGCATGGAACTCCTAAGATAAGTTGTTCTATTTTTTTTCCCTATCTATTCTAGTAACCTCGATGGGTTATTCTAGGCCGAGCTTGTAGGCCAGCTCACAGGGCTCAAACCTGACGACGTTGCTAACACGACCCTAGCAAGAGTCAGAGCTTGTCGAAAACAATTTGAAATACTATTTATTACTATAACTAAACGCGATAAAGTTAAAATAAATGAAAGCTGCTGTGGGTAGGCCGAATTGACACGGACGGGTTAATAACCACAATTTCATAAATTCTGTAGCGTGAGGCATTAACGCCGTGATGTTGATACTCTCCGGTTACCACTCAACACCAGGTCAGCCGTGAGCTCATCTTAATATATACAGCAAATTAATAAAAGAACAGAGAATACAACTAATTTTAAGTATGTTTTTACTTATCAATTCTAATCGATTAGTTCATACGTACCGGTAACGCAGTTTGAATTATCTGCAATGTTAGGAGCGTATGTAACTTTGTTTTGCTTCAAAGCGCAATAATCATTGGTATTGAAGAGTTGCCAAACTTTTCAAACTGTACACGGTGTATAGTATTCGAGTTATTTTAACCTACCTACTTTATAATGTACCATACCATGTACCACATAATATGGTATTATTATAGTCGTTTTTCCCGTGAGCTTGTAAATGAATAAGTTCTGAGCGAGCACGGGCTCGATTCGGGATATGAATAAGTAAAAATCTAAAGATATCATAACATAACACACAACAGTGTTGATGCCTATTAGTATTACGTGTTAATCATGATAATATTAAAGATTACAACGATCAATCAATTTCGATTATTTAGCAACCCAGTAACATAAATGTCGTTGACGTTAATAATATATCATAAGACTGGGTCCAAATATTTAATAAGTTAGCAGAAGTGTCATTACCAATGGTGCAGAGTGTGCATTGCACCTGCGCTCGTGTTATCTCGCCAGACTTTATAAATCAACCCCAAATAAAAAGAGTTCTGGTTTGCATACATTGTACAGTGCATATGGTCCGGTATTGAATTTTGACCGCAATGATTACATACGGGCGTTACATGAGCTAGAGGTACCTTTGAGCTTGAAATTCTTTTTGATTAGTTACATTGTAACGTCGGGGCATTTCTGATCTACTCAAGCAACTAAGAAGAGGAAGAAAAAAACGGTTATTTACTTGACTGTAGCCGCCATGACATGATGATTCGGATTCTGCAAACGAGTCTTCACTAAATCCAACGGCTGGAAGAGCACAGTGCTGAATGTTCCAGAAAACGAACCCGCAAGAAACGCTTTGAACACCGGATGATACTGTGAAAAGTTAAAACATTATGTGAGCTGTTGGCACATTCATACGCGGCCAATGATAAACTTTGGCCCAAAAGTATACGATACGAGTAATGTATTGATGATGAAGAAATTGAAACTTACGTTAGTCACGATGTCCATTCTGATGCACTTTCAATTCTACTTGGATTTACCAAATATTCTTCGTCAAGTAATATCTTTGGAGTAAATACCAAATTTATAGTATTCGAAATTGTAGAGCCAATGGCAAATAGAACGTTTAAGTTGAAATAGCTTCAAATGTAAGCCTAGATCGTATCCGAGTAGTCTGAATAGTAGATAGGGTTGATTCGATACAGTAAAGCTATGGTCATTTTCTGCGCAACGGCGTTCGAAAAATACATGTAGGCTGCTTCTGCCAGGGATAATCGTAAAAGATTTAAATAAATATAATATGAAACGCCTGGAGCGTTGCCGATAGTTGCAACTTTTTAATTTCGAAATTAATTTGGGGACAGAAAATTACAATCAACGAATTTATCCATCAGGGATTATATCACTTGCGTAGAAAAATTAAGTGCGCGATAGTAGTTTTCCGAAACAGTAATGATACGTGCGCTCACGTAGACTTACGAAGGCGAACTGAACGATAAACTGCCGTGTTAGCGACGATAATGAGTAACTTATACATTTTGTTATCAGGGACAGACGGAGTCCGGACGGGTAAGGGAGGTGGAAGGTCTTGATCGTTAACCCTTAGAGATAATGAGTATCCATACGTACATACTGACTAGGGGGTAATGAGGTACATGCGATAAATTAGGGTCGACACATCATATTTAGAATTAAAATTAAAAGAAGATGCCGAGAAAGAGGAACGGAATAGAAAGGTAAAATCTCCAAAATCATTGTGCACAGGTAAATTCTTGAAAAAAAAATGCGGCAATAAGTTATTCAAGCTAAGCTTAGCTTAGCTTATTACGCGTATTATATAGCATTATGCACAGTATTTTTCATCATGTATATACAACGAAGCTACAGTTCACCGGAGGATAAGTGGTCACTGTTAAAGATAACCTATGCCATTAAAATAATTGATATAATATGATGATTGTATTTTACTAATGGCTATCTTACTAATTAAACTTAAAAAAATAAGAAGGATACTGGCGATACAGCACTTGATTTACCAATCAACAAAATACCCCCTTCCACCAATCTTCTTTTTCTCCATCTTATCCCACTCGGTAGAGTCGGCACAGCAAAATTTTCTCTTCCATTCTCTTCTATCAGCCGTCATCTCAACACTCACTTCTCTCTCATATCGTCATTCACACACTCCATCCATGTCTTCTTCGGTCGAACTCTTCCCCCTCTACTATACTACCATACACCCTCCAATAAAATAACATTTTTAAAATTGCACAGAATTTGACAATTTTTTTAAGCACAATAATGGTTTGGACAACCTTAACACTTTAAAATCAGGAAATGAGAATAATATATATTTATTTTGACTACAATTATTGTATTTTTACAATTATTGTATTAATCATGAGTATATTGTAATAGTTGATGCAATTTTGTTCATCTATTGCATTTCATACTATCACTACAACATTATTGACTTTAAAAAATAAATAAACGATATTGCTTATTGAATTTTTTGTCTACTGTTTAGCTGTGGGTAATGAATTTATTTTGAAAGCTCACAAACTAAATGTCATTAAGCAATGAAGCAGCAACATATATTATGTTAGCATTTTAAAGATTATATATAATTGTTTAATAATATAAATAACCAATTAGATGCCAACTAAAAGTTTTAAAAACTATAACGTATTACGATCATTCTTTATCAAAGAACCTTTTTTAATTTGAATTCCTAATCAGTATATTATTATTTGATTTAGTAAGTCTTTTATTTTCAGCAGCTATATTGATTCATAAATTTTTATCATTGTTATTAAAAAAATTATATCAACACAGATTAAAATGATTACAATATTAGTGTCAACATGTTTTTTTCCAAGTATAATAGAGCAATACAAAAATAATGCAGTAAATAACATAAATGACAATAAAGTCTGAAAATACAAAAGTTAAATGTGCTGTATTAGTAATGATAGACTTGGTTGTACACTTTTTTAACATAGCTACTCAATCTTCAACAGTTTCTTGAAACCAATATTGGGTAAAAATAATGTATTCATTGTTTTAATTTCTTTTTTGTAAACTTTAATTGCAAGCCTATAATGAATAGCGACTAGTCCACCAATAATAAATGGTCGCACGAAACTATTTGTTAATGAAAAACTATTCAACAGAACTACTCAATAGAAATTTCAATGCATAACAACATTCTTTGTTTTGTTTAGTAGTCATTTAAACAGTGAATCTTCAATTTTGAAGCTATTTACTGTATGATAATACTTGTATGATGTAAAACATAACATTACTTGCGACGGCCTCTCCACTATTGATATTACTTCTGTTGATAAGTGTAAAAGGAACACAAGTCTATTTGCAGTAAATATATGGCCCGGGGTCAGTAAAGGACACTTTATCTTACACAAACAACTTCGCAGGGGTCCACTTACTTCATTATCTGTCGGCTTGTCGAGGTCAACGGGCGCCGTTGTATCTGTCGCCCATCCATTCGAAAGCGCTTCCAAAGATTGCGACATTATTTTTCAAAATATGCGAAAATTAAATAGAAAAATTCAGTACATAAAATATTACGTCTCGACTTCTTGCACATTTTCACTGATTATAGGACCAAGGTTACAGCAACACTGAAGCATGTTTGATTACAAAGATAAAATGACTGTGCCAATGTTTAGAAAAGCTTATCATATCTCTATTTTGCTGTCATAAAATTTAAAATTGAGTAAGGACTACTACGATTTGTATGTTGGAAAAGTAAATACACTATCTCTGATTTTTGTTGTTTTAAATTCATTGACATATTCTAGCCAGGCCAGCTGGCCGAAATTTTCCAGTAATCTGAAAATTGGTAAAAATAATGTATTTGTATTGTCAAATCACAAAAAAATAGTAATAGGTAATTCGTTTTTTAATGCGTAATATTTTGCATTTATTTGTGTAGTTTAAATTTGACAATTGACACTTCTGTTTGATAGTAAGGCTACACTATGACTAGTAAGGCTACACTATGACCAGGGTTGGATTTCGTACTATAATTATAGTATTTCTACTACAATTTCATGCTTCGTACTACCTATGTACTATCCATATCTAACGATAGTACGAAAAATTACTATAATTTCAATACCTTGCCTATATGACTAATTTAAGTAATATTTCAATAACATTCGGTGCTAGCCCAACATTTAAAAAAAAGTTCATTGAGATTTAATCACACACAGGCCAACCACACACCACAGGCCATTTAAAGAAATAGCAAAATGCCCTAGATTGCTTAGTACTCCCCCATTCTAATGCGGACTGCGAGAGAATATTCAGTAAAGTGAACCTTACCGAAACCAAGATAAGGAACAAACTGGCAACACAATCCATAGACGCCATCTTGATAACTTGTGACGTTATCAAAAACTGTAGCAAAAGTGGGAATTGTACTGATTTTATTCCTACTAAGGATATGTTAATAAGATTAAATTCTAAGATTTCTGAGGATGAAATAAAAAGTGTAAAATAATTTTTACAAATACTACATATTATTATCTTTTTAAATTTTTTATGGTATCGTTTTCATCTTACCCAAATCCAGCCCTGACTATGACTGTAGGACTCCATTATTTAATGCCTATTTATTACCCCTCTGTGAAGTTAGTGTATACCTAGTAAATTTTATATTGTCGACTATGGATCCGCTAATATATCACATTATTTTCTAAGTGAGAGTTGAAATTCAAGCATGATCCGAGCGCAAGTGTATTTTAAATAATCAAATGTTCGGACCCTTTGATTATATACACGTGTGTATAATCAAAGCTCGGACCATTACATTACTAGTAACAAAGGAACGCTGCTAAATTCATTCTCCAATCCATTCTGGAGATGTAAAATATGCAATCAGAAACGTAAGACAAAATAGAAGCGGATACAACCAAAAAAGTGTCAGAATTCGTTGCAGTTTTCAGTGGAACTGACAAAATAATCCCGGACAATCCCAGCTTACATTCATAGAGATGGAAACGAGACTGAGGCCATACATTAATCACGAAAGAAAATAAGGTTAAATATTTTCTTCAATATTACGTAGGTATTTTGTAGGCAGCGGCTTGGCTCTGCCCCTGGCATTGCTGAAGTCCATGGGCGACGGTAACCACTCACCATCAGGTGGGCCGTATGCTCGTCTGCCTACAAAGGCAATAAAAAAAAAAAACCTAACTTATATCCTATAACCTAAAAGCTTTATTTCCTTCCGATTACAAAGAAAAGTCATGTAGAGTTTTTTAAAAGCCCTAACGTAGGTAATCGATTAATGGTCACAAAAATCCTTAACAAAATTAAAGTACCCTATGAATTAAGTGAAGCTAATCAGCTAAAACATATCCCATGTTGATATTGGTCAACAGATCTTCAAGAATACGCTGCATGATACTCTGCTCGTGAGTCGATCGCCGAACAAGCAGTGCTTCGATTGGAAGCAAGCTCTCCGTTAGCGCCTTGTGGTTAAAAGTATATTAACTGTGACTACAACATTATTCAACTGTTTTGTTAAATTTTCTTCCCTACCAGACATAGCGTAGCTGGAATAAGCGGTAGACAGCGGCTTAGCTCTGCCCCTGGCATTGCTGAAGTCCATGGGCGACGGTAACCACTCACCATCAGGTGGGCCATTTGCTCGTTTGCTTACAAGGGCAATAAAAAAAATAAAAAAAGAACAGCCTTATAAACTACCCGCGAATAAGCGTGGAAAAAAAATTGAACAATGAGGTCGTATTATCACTGTTTCTAACATCCGCTGGGGGTCTTACGGGAGACATCACGCGATGATGTGATGTCGCTTAGATACCCTTAGGTTATCGTCTTCTACGCACATTTTCCTTATCGTAACATAAGTTTATTCACGTTAACGATATTAATTATTATTATGACTTTGTTTTAAATGTATTGGTACGTTAATCAAAATATGGACTTTGAAACATAAGAATGGTGCTAATTCAAACATGGCGTGTACAATTTACTATTAAACATAATACTGATACAGTATCATGCCAAAACAAATAAAAACTATTTTAGGTAACGTAAAAAAATTTTAAAGTTTAAAATAATGGCGCGATATTATTATGTGGTACAGTGAACCATTTTAGAATAATTGAACACCAATACGGTCGCATCGCCCGATACGAGGAGCCCGGTGTCCTTTTATCCTTTAGGCCACGACGATTTGAAACTTAGGTGATTTTTTAATAGCTATAGGACATTATTTAAAAAAAAAACACAAAATTCAGAAGAATGCATGAAATCTTTATTTGAACCGATAGTGCGGTTCATATAATTTAATGTTTGAAGATTATTTCATGCAAATGTTGACCGCGGCTGCGCCTCAAATAGTCCATCCGCTTACTCCAATTTGGGCATACACTTTCCAACATTTTGGCCGGTATCAAACAAATAAATGCTTCAATGTTGTCTTCCAATGCATCAATCGAATCGGGCTTGTCAGCATAGACATGAGCCCTAACATAGCCCCACAAAAATAGTCTAAAGGCGTTAAATCGCACGATCTAGGCGGCCAATTGACCGGTCCCCAACGTGAATTAAACTGTTCACCGAATTTGCCTCTCGATTGGTTATATAATAATATGGTAGTGGTATACCTAATACGCACCAAACAGTAGCTTTTTCTGGATTAATTGGTAACTCTTCCAATGCTTCTGGCTGATCTTCGTTCCAAAATTGACAATAATAATTCTGCTTATTAACGTATCCATTGGGCCAAAAGTGAGCTTCGTCGCTGAACGCAATTTTTCGATGAAAAAGTGGATTTTCCGTCAACTTTTCAAGAGCCCATTCACAAAAAATTCTGCGTTGTGGTAGATCGTTCGGTTTCAATTTTTGCAACAGCTGTGTTCTGAAAGGTTTCACACCTAAATCCTACCGCAAAATTTTCCATGTTGTTGAGTAACAAAGGCCCAATTGCTGCGAATGATGCCGAATCGATAATTGATGGTCATCACTAACACTGACCGATACAGCTGCAATATTTTCTTCAGTTCGCGCTGTACGTAAGCGTGTTGGTGGTATAATGTCCAACAATGTAAATTTGGTGAGAGATTTAGTCATAATAGCCCGAATAGCCGCTTCAGCGGGTCGATTAAACTGACCTGAAAATGGAAGAAGCGCGCGATGAGCTTTCTTAACAGAGCACGCATTTTTACACGCTTTATATTAGCTTCACTTGTACCTATGTATGTTTGTAGGTATGTTTGTAACTGACTCCCTTAGACGCGATTTTGACCCACTTTAAACGGCCAGATTTCATTCAAACTTTGTAAATTTATCGAGGACCGATGACAATACACTAATTTGATAAGATTATTCCATTATTCAATTTGCAAAATAAGAGTTTTGCCAATTTATATAATTTTTATCTATAGTCGATAAGGCAGGAATTGATGTTAAAGTAATTAATAGTTTTAAAAATACGCTTTTATAGAAAATTTAACTAAAAAATGAAAAAGAAATAATAGTTTAAAAAAACTAAAAAACACGCTTTATATAAAATTCAACTAAAAAATAGAAAATAAATTTTAATAAACTTAAATTGAAAATAGTGTAAAATCATCGAGATATTATGTACTATAATATAAGTAATCTCGATGTGTAAAACATATTTTATTTAAAAAAAAGCGTGGGGTGCATGGTGTTATTAGTTAAAAATATTTTTATGAGAGATATGAGTAGAAGAATTATTATTTCAATAATATCTGAAAAAGCACCCTACTACACTATACTACTTCTTTGCTTACTTCTATAATCATCCCGAATATTGGAGTAGCGTTACAGAATAAAGTTGAAGACACTAAACTTGTCAATTCCTAAGATTAATTTCTATGAAACTTATTTTTAAATTTTTTTTCTTTAGCTGTTATTATTTTTCTTTACACTCTGACTAGGCAAACAAACGGTCTTCTGTGATGTATTATGATGTGAATACATACAAATTGTACCTATCTTGAGAAATGAGATTGAAATCTCAATTGTATTGCAAAAATGACTACCGATTCATGAATTGGACCGCATGATGTAAGACACAATAGGAAATGACAAAGTTCAATTGAAAAAAAAAAACAGTCATTACACAAGCGCCTGTGCAACTTGTGGAGCAGGTTTTACGTTCCGTTCTAGACTTCATTTTAGTATTATAAAATTTGCGAACAACATGATATCTAAAGGTAGTTGTAGTAGTTTGAAGAATCATTCAACAGTAAACTAAGGATATGCAAAAAAATCTTTTTTGTCAGAGTTAGACTAAATGTCACACTTTTATTCACATCAGTGTACTTACTGCGTATATTTTAACGTTATCGATAGCGCAAAAGATAACTCAAATTTGTATGGAGATGTAACGTTTGCCTATGTATTCTGCTAGGGGCGCTGTTTCAAACGCATACATTGATTTAACTTTACGCTATCGAGAACTTTAAAAAACTCGCATTAAGCACACAAAAGAGCTTGATTCAGAGAAAATTTTGGGAGAATCCTAGAAACCACGTCCTTTGGCTTAATTTACTTTTCCCACACGTACCTAAGCACCTTTAGAGATCATACTAAAGGCACCATTATTAACTTTAAGAATCCCCAAATTAATAAACTAAATTAGTTCAAATAACTTCGCTACTCGCGTTCCCGCCATAATTAAAAGGCGTAATGAAATTATTGCAAAAATATTGACAACCGTTCTAAGAAAATGGACTTAATGACTTGACTTAGAGGATCTGTTAATAGTTGGTATTCGACAGTTGGAAATGAAAACAAAAACCTTCTTAATTAAATTTTATTCTATTCTACGTACTTCCAAAAAGCCGGGACTTAGTGAAACTTACTTAAATATAGAATCGTCAGTAAAATACATAACTATAGAATAATATCTAATAATATGAGAAAATACATGTGAATATTTAAGTAATAATATTATTATAGTAAATTATTAATCACAGGGTGACCTAACGCTTCTTTAAATGGAATGATTTTTGAAGACAATAAATAAATTTTGAAACCCTGATTATCAATCCAAAAATGTTAGACACCATTTTAATTTTGACAAATTATCTTCGCCCTTAAAGGGCTTGAAGGCACGATAGTTTAATTACAGTAAAAAGAAATTATAACATGTACAATGTAAAATGTTACATCAGGATTCTACAATTCATAAATTTTATGATTTATTGGCACAAGTTAAATATGAAGCAAATTATGTAAATCATTTTTGTAATTATAATTATATAAAGATATAAATGAGATTATAAATTTCATAGCAATAAAATTAATTTGAGGAATGTTAAAATATAAACATTACATAACTATTTTATTTAATTAACTTATATGTTTTTAAAGATTAAACACGGTCGATTATCCTTTTTTTATTTTGTAAAATCTTAAATAATTATTTTTAATATAAATGGAATGACAAACATAACTGAAATCTTATTATGAACTAGGTGTTATATCAAAGGTAAAAATAAAAAGGATTCGTCTTTTATTTTCAAAATGTCATTCTTACCTACATTATTGGAATCTAAGTACAGACTTTTTTGTAAGGAATGACTGTTATTAAGAATGTAGAAGTTTTCGCGCCTAAATTTTAGTACAGTGACTTAGAAGCATCTAGCATGCTTGTAACAAGCCATTCAAATGTGCACGTTTAGACAGTTTTACATGTGTCTCGTGTTACCAAAGTTGATTCCGCTTTGGTTGGCGCCCTTATTTGAGCCGTACTGAAGAGATATGACTCCCTGACCAGCCCGGAGCTGCTCCTCGGAGAAGTTTCGCACGTTCTTCTCAGCTTCTTTCGGTCCTATTGACGGCTTCCCGTAGGTTCCAGCCTAAAATGACATTAAATATATTTTTTAATACACGGTAAAACATCAATTTAGACTAATATAAATCTAAATATTTTGTGACATTTCTTTGTAATAGTTCTCTTTAAATTTAGATATATTTTTACGCAATTTTCACAGTTCCCGAGTTTTTAGGTTATGTTGTTCGGCGGACGACACAAGTATTATCTATGACGGACACTAGTATGTCATTGCGTTTAATCATGTTTAATGACATTGTGGCGTTTAAGTACGCACCTTTTTATAATGCGTAATCCGGAACGCATGAGATGTGGGAGACAGAATATAGTCTGTGACACAATACCTTTTTACCGCCAAATATGAAAAACATAAAAATAATTTATAATGTGATAATAACTAATTTAATGTAATTACTTTATGCCGCTACAACAATAAAATTTATATTGTTCCAACTGTGGTGTTAATTACATAAAACACGACCAGGCGAAATAAAGAAGGGACTCTATATGCACTCCCTCAACATAATATGTTTTTCTTAAAAACGAATTAATCAACGTGTCAAAAATAAATACCTAATTTTTTATTTATTCGTTAAACTGAAAAACCAATTCGAGCTAACGCATAGGTAAATATTTTACCTACACTACATAGTAGAATCAAAGTAAAAAGCAGTAATATGTTCTTCTACCTTTCTGCCCAGTGACTGCAAGCAGATCACGACGGAGTTGAGATTCTGTCTCTCCCACAGGTCGACAGTTTGAAAAGTTTCCTGTGCCGGTACACCCAACTGTCTTGCGGCTTCGAGGAAAGCGTTGATATTCTCCATGCACTTGAAGGCCATCGACGATGTGTTGATCTTTTTGATCATGTTCGGGTGGATGTTGTTGGCTAGCCTGTAATAATATGTTAAAAACTATGTTAGATATTTATTTAATTGAAAGAGGCAAATATATCATTGTGTTTTCCTTTACATTCGTTTTTTTTTCCTTTTGACTATTTAAACTAAAATGTATAATGTAATTTTGTTTTATATTATATTTTTTACCGACATATTTGTTTATGAACGAATCATTTCTTCATTATCGTTGTAGGGAGCGTGTATGTACTATTTACTATACCTAGTAGTCTGTGTTTTTACTTCACTTAGAAGTTTGTACGTGTCTATTTTGGTATAACTTACTTGCACAGAAGAGTGCCGTCTTTAAGCACTTCGTAGAAGTTGTCCATATCCCCTGAGGTGTTCTCTGGTTCGCCGGTGATCATCCGAATCCATTCCAAGGACTCGTGGGCCAGCTCCTCGCTGTATTTGCTGTTGATCTGGAGTATCAGAAATTACAATCAAATTTTGTCATTTAGGAAACCAAACGTTAGTAACATAAAATATCTTATACCTTTAAACGAGCAATTCTTGTATATTAATATATATATATATAATATAATCTGAATCTCGGAAACGGCTCCAACGATTTTCATAAAATTTAGTATACAGGGAATTTCGGGGGCGATAAATCGATCTAGCTACGATTTATTTTCAGAAAATATTGTTATTATTCGTGTTTTCAATAATCAACTCTACCCGACATCTATTGGCGAATAATAATACTATTTTTCTTAATTGAGGGCAACTAACCGCTTTAAAGACACAACAAGGTGGCGTTATCAAAAAAAAAAAACCCAGCAAAGCTCGGTCATCGTCTAGTTTAAAGAAAACATCAAGCTAAAATTTATTTTCAGCGATCTAAATGTGCTGTGTCCAATTACATCATACGCTGGGCTTGGCTCTGTACGGTTTCCGTTCCAGAAAATTTCTACCCTTTCGGTATTTTAATAGCCACATTAAATATAGGGGCGGCTAAAGTATAGTTTTATGAAAACAATAATAAGTCTTGACTTTGAATATCATTTAATGTTTTTTTTTAATTCATTAGCAATACGTACTGGTGTAGGACCTCTTGTGAGTCCACGCGGGTGGGTACCACCGCCCTGCCTATTTCTGCCGTGAAGCAGTAATGCGTTTCGGTTTGAAGGGTGGGGCAGCCGTTGTAACTATACTGACACCTTAGAACTTATATCTCAAGGTGGGTGGCGCATTTACGTTGTAGATGTCAATGGGCTCCAGTAACTACTTAACACCAGGTGGGCTGTGAGCTCGTCCACCCATCTAAGCAATAAAAAAAAAACATTACATACAAAGTGGTAGGTATGTTAAGTTTTTATGCGTTTATTTTTTATTTTTCCTATCTCTTTATCACTAGTACTAACTTATTAAATATCGGTGAACCTATAGTAATATGTAAGTAGCACGTTCATTTATTTTATTTGTTCTCTTACGTAAAAAGGAACACTACGAATTTAAGGATAAATAACTCGCTTATATAGGTACACTACCGCTAAGGCCAATCGATTTCTAAAGGAACACTACAGATTTATGGATAAATAACTCGCTTGTACACTACCGCTAAGGCCAATCGATTCGTCACATTAATAAAATATCTCACGAAACATATTACCTATATCTTTTGTTGTTTTCGAAAGGTTAAGTTATTTAAGATAAACCAATTAATTTTAGTGTATAAAATAAAACAGTTTACATATTAAACAATTAAGCTTACTTAAAGTTATTTTTAGGAATGTAGTGAAGTTCTTCGGTCGCTTATGGGTACAACTGTAATATGGTATTACTGAGCTACTAAAAACAAACGAGTAGACACTTAACCAAATTATGCAAATCGGATTTTACCCTACAATAATAACTACAAATGACGTAAGACTGATTAATTTAATGTACGATCAAAACTAATTTTACGGATTAAACTCGCGGACGACTGTGACAATGAAAACTGTAAAGATTAATAAAAGTGAAACCCGCAAAATTATAATTTGCGTAATTACTGGTGATAGGACCTGTTGTGAGTCCGCGCGGGTAGGTACCACCGCTCTGCCTATTTCTGCCATGAAGCAGTAATGCGTTTCGGTTTGAAGGGTGGGGCAGCCGTTGTAACTATACTGAGACCTTACAACTTATATCAAGGTGGGTGGCGCATTTACGTTGTAGATGTCTATGGGCTCCAGTAACCACTTAGCACCAGGTGGGCTGTGAGCTCGTCTATCCATCTAAGCAACAAAAAAAAAGATATGGTTCAAAACCTCGGAAAGAATGTAATGATGTTAAAAGATGCGAGATTAAATCGTAAAAGTGGTATCAATTACGTCCATAATAATATGTGACTCGCGAAAATAATTAAATTTGAATCATAATAAGAACAAATAGCTGTCAAGCCTAAAATCGACTGTTTTACAGAACACGGCGTGAAATTACAGATACGTCTTTATATTTATTTAACAGCTAAGCGTATATAACATGCTCAGTTCGATATTCATTTCAATTTATTATAATGCAGAGTGGAAATTAGATGCAGTCGACTTGTACGTTGAAATTGAAGGTCACGCTGATAACCGCCGAGCGAATAGCTGTTTCTTTAAACAATAGTTTCAACGTCAAAAGGCTTAGTATTGTTCGAATCGTGAACTAGTATTGAACAAATGAATTCCGATGCGAACACGCGAACGTGACAACATATATTTTGAAAATCTAAAACATATGCGAACAGACTTTCGTTTCTTCACGATGTAAACAAGGGAAAATCCTTCGCAATTTCACCACAATCATTCGAAGGCAAAGAAAGCTGAGCAAGTAAATAAAATAGAGAAGTTTTTGCTTTAATTAAAATTACTATTGATAAAGAATTAATAGTTGTGATGCTGTTCAGAATTAGCAACAGAATTAATAGGACCTTATTAGCAACGTAAGTGACACACTTACAGAAATAAACATGACTCAAATGAAATTCGAGCAAATTGTATAAATATGTTACGTACGACCTTATTAAATACTTAACCTACCATGTTATGACATCGCATCGTCACTTGTTGGTTAAAATAAGCTTGATGTTTGAAAAGGATCCCTAGCCTTTTTCGTTAAATTAACTGGTGGTAGGACCTCTTGTGAGTCCGCACGGGTTATATACCACCGCCCTGCCTATTTCTGCCGTGAAGCAGTAATGCGTTTCGGTTTGAAGGGTGAGGTAGCCGTTGTAACTATACTGAGATCTTAGAACTTATATCTCAAAGTGGGTGGCGCATTTACGTTGTAGATGTGTATGGGCTCCAGTAACCACTTAACACCAGGTGGGCTGTGAGCTCGTCCACCCATCTAAGCAATAAAAAAAGTCTTCATTTTGACGGCAAAATATAGGTATGTATAGTATTCATCTAGATAGATCGATTTACCACATCCATTTTTTTTAAGTTTAAAAACCTTAAGGATGCTCAATGTATTCATGTCAAGTGATACCACTACGTCGGGTTCCACTTCTGATATTTTTTAATTTTTTTTAATTAGGTACCTACAATGATTGTTGTTCAATGAAGTCATCTTGTTTTTGATTGGTCATTTCAACTATTTCTGAGTAATTTGATAACCCGACTTATCCAAGTTTCTTGTTCAATTGAGTCTGAGTCTGAGTTCATTTTAAATAAGCCATTAGTTGCTTTAATATTAAAAACGGCGAATTGGGTTATTACGATGGCAGAACAGTAGCCCGGCGTCCGCAATGGTGAAAAAAAAATATCCTTGTGCTATTTATTTCTTATCGGACCACAATGAATTTTAAAATATTAACATGACATTAGCGACATAATTTCGGTTTCAAATTGAACAATCTATTTTGTATTAAATATCAATGCGACTATTTATAGGATATTTTTTTAAATGAAATGAATAAAACATTTTTAAATAATGTTAGAGCTACTAAGATAAAAAAGCACACCCATATTATATTAATATAATACAATAATTTTGTAAATAGTATATGTGACCGTAATTACGTTTCTCTAATCGAGATATTTTGCTGGAATTTTTCATATATAACACGTACATTTTAAGGTAAGGCCCGACGGTATTTGTGCATCATGCTTTTCCTAAAAGCACACTGAATCAATAGTTCCTTATAAATATCGTTATTAATATGTTATTTATACTCTAACGTTGCGTGGCTGATGGTTCCGAAAACAACTCGATTACGTCAGCCTCGAAGGATTCAAAGCGTGACTCAAGCCTTGGAGACGCCAGACATGCTTGGTGCGAGCAAAAAACATGAGGGTCTTTCGTAACCGGATTTAAATAAATTTTAGAACTAGGACGCCCGGAAAAGTTTCGTGAAATAAAAGTGCAATCAAGACGTGGCTTTATCTGCAATGCAACTCTGGAATTTGTTGCCGGATTAAATAAAATCCCCGCAAGCACACATGTAATATTTTATATCTTGTTTTTTTTTTTAAATAAAACGTTTCTCTAACCTGTCTCTCGAGGGCTGACCCCATTCGTAGCTGTACGGTTGCACGCTTTCTAGTACCATAAAACCCGATTGACCTCTTTATCTGGTCTATTCGTGGCCCTTAATTATTATTCCGAAGCGTTCTTTAATTTGTTTGTGAAGGCAAAGGAAGTGAACTTTTTAACGTGTCCTGTTGCACCTGTCCAAATAAAACTGGGGTCCTTTTGGAGGAAGTGAGTCTTCGTTGATGTCGGATAATAGGGGACTACTAATTAGAATGTTTGAATGAATTATGGCGGTCACATTTTTTGTATAAAGTTTGACGTTAATATTTGCTGTTTCCGAGAAACGGTAATAGTCCGAAACTATATAATGCTAGCCGTACTCGCCCGCTTCGCTGGGTATTTAAAATTAACATTATTATTTATTGTCATTATTATTAGGGAGTCCAACACTCACATAAATCTTAGCCTATCCATTAAGTACATGTATTTACTACATGGATACCAAGTTTCAAGTCAATCGGATGCATGGTTATAATTATAGTTATAACGGAACATCCGTAAAAACCACTGTAGATTTATATATTAGTACCTATAGATAATGTAGATACAAATGTTATCATCGTACTTAAAATTATAACAAGAATACAAAAATCCAAAGCGAAGTCCAATGACTAAAACCATTTATTGTATTTATGTTGAATGAAATTTCTTAATCGCTAAGCAATTCCTGTTTTAGCGTTTTTTCATTAATTTCTAATAGCATGATATTATTTTTCTGCTTATGTGTGATATAATTTAGCATTTCGATCAGACTGTTTTTCGTTCAAGCCCATTTTCGACCGTAGCTACTATTTCACTCACACTTTTCCATCACACAGTTTTAATAACATCATCATAAGGATTATGGCGTCTTATTAGCCCGCACGGGTAGGTACCACACCACCTATTTCTGCCGTGAAGCAGTAAATGCGTTTCA